TTTTAAAAAATGCGTTTCTAAAGTGCATAAACTTTTGGGATTGACTGTATAGCCAATACATCCTTAAATCAGATATTCTTTTCGTCGAATTCGTTAGAACAGCAATCTTTAAATATGAGGACATTAAGACACACTGTTTGAAATAGTTGACTCCTATTGTCTCTACTGTAAAAAGTTCTATTGAATCCCTGTGAACGGAATCCATATGTGAATCCTTAAATTGTTTTTTGAACGGATCACAAAATTCACGTTACGTAGTTTTTGATGAACATCTATTATTGTAATCTGTAGTTGCACCTCCGGTAAAAGCTTTCTAGAAGCATTAAAGATTGTTAGTTTATATATGCAATAAAAGAGTTAGAATATAGAAGTTCATATTTTGCACAGAATAAGCTGATATTAATTACGGTGGCACCTCGGGTCTGGGGCTGCGTTTTATCGCAAGGGAAGATGTTCAAGAAGAGAGTCGTTCGGTAGCCGAGGTTCCACTGTAAAATGTTTGTACTTTTTTTGTTGTAAGAAAAGAACTTTTCTCTGAATGTTTTGATTATTGCTTTGCTTATTTGCGATGTATGTTGTGCGATAGATTGAGAGATACATTCTTATCGTGTCTCCACGTTCATGTACTTCCTCTACATGTACATAATTATACGAGACCCTCGAGATTTTGAGAGATTGTCCCGAAACATTAGTTCCTAAACATAGGATACGTGACTTCTTAAACTTGTAATGGGACTTTTTGTTTCTTTGCAAAAATTCAAAATAGAAGCAGTGTCAAGTTGGAGTCTTACCATTGGGAACGGGAAATGATTTGGCGCGTGTATTGGGCTGGGGCTCCTCGTGCGATGATGATGCTCATCTGCCTCAGTTGTTGGAAAAGTACGAGAAAGCAGGCACAAGGATGCTGGATCGATGGAGCATTATGACGTTCGAACGTAGCATATCTTTGGCATGTCACAAAACTGACTTAAGTCGATCCAAAACCACGTTAAAATCCGACATCGCCCACCAATACGAAACTAACGTTATTACTCATATAACAAACATTTTACAGTCGGACGAGGAGGATGTAGTTTTATCTAGCATTAGGTAAATCATCAATGATCAAATACATTCAAGTATTCTGGGATGTATTAAACGACTAAAGCATTTTAATAAATGCTTGTCTGTTCGTAGAATTTTATGTAGCACAATAAAAGATTTTGCAACGTATATAATGGAAAATATAAACACAGAGGACCAACAAGTGAAAGATAAATGTAAAATACTTCAGGAAAAGCTTGATTTGTTTTTACATATATTATGTAAAGAGGAGGGATATCTGGGTGAGCAGATAGAAAATGACACTGATAATATCGCTTTGAACACCGTTTTGCCTGAGAATTGTGAAAAGGGAGTATTAGAGAAACCAGAGAAGGATATAACAAATTTGAAGAAGGTGGTGTTAAGGAGGAAGCAACTTATAGAGAAGGAAAACGTTATGTTGAGGTGAATTAAACATATATAAATGAGAAACTGTGGATGACTGGTTGTATTCGATCATGATTTTAGAGCAAACAGTTTGAAGAAAACGGTGAGGAGACTCGTGGAATATTCTCAGATAGTTCTGGACGAGCAGATCGGTGTAAATACGAAGCATGCCACTAAAGTGGCGACTACCAATATTTCGTTAGATGACAGTACGGTAATCAGTTCAGTATCAAGTAAGTTTATGAAAGACCAAGCATCGAATTTTTAATTCTTCTGATGTACTTATTTTATTTTTTTTTTTTGTAATAAATATTTACGTTGAAAATGTACTCCAGATGAAAAGGAACAATTAGATATTCCCGGTTTAAAAGTGGACCACGTTGATAGTAATTTATCTATAGGAGCACTAATAGAGTCCGCGAAAAGTACGGATAATTCGACGTGCACCAGTCCTACCCCAAACGTAGCATCGTTGAGCCCGATACCTGATATCAGGAGGGACTCTCAGCCCGAAGAATTATTAACGTTACCTGCTCCCGACGGTTTTGCTGACAGCAGGCGGAACAGTGAAAATTTACCACAAGTGTGAGATATATTATTTCCCGATTCATCAAATTTAATTACTTAAAAATAACGCGTCTCTCAATTTTAATTCGCAGTTCAATGGACTTTGAGGAATCTCAACCTGCGCTTACAGATGAACAAGAACAAGAAGAACAAGAAGTGGAAACGCCTGTAAATGATTCTAATAACGCGGACATGTCCTCGGATTTTCAAGTCAGCGTTACGAGAACTACCTTCGAGACTAGTTCACCCTCCGAGGATGGAACTACGCAAGATATCTCCTCGGATATGGATTCGATTCAGTCACCGGTGCACGAGTCAAGACTTGAGAATAAACCAAAAGCCGAAGGATCAAAGTGTAAGCGGTCGCATTGTCAGTATCGATAACATTATTCCTAATGTATATTTTATATATCAGCATACACAGGTGGCGATACGTTTGATTCGGAGATCAGACATATCGATTCACCCGACAATTCAGAAATGGTCACCAGTGAGATACAAAACTCCGAGAGTTTAATGGGACAAGATCTGACCAGCACGATGAACGGAGATGAATACGATTCCGTGAGAGAGTATATGGAAAACGAATTGGAAAGTACTGATGTCACTAATGAGATTGCTAGACGTTCGTATAAGAGGTCAACCAAAAATTATTCAACCGCAGAACTGGAGGTATTTCAAACGCGACTCGTAATTTACTGTGAATATTTAAGGCATCATGTTGATGTTAAACATTCTTTAGAATAAAATGAAATACAAAACGGTATCGCATGGACAGAACTCGAACGATGCTAAGAAATGTAAGGAATCTCAAGAAGGCAAAGCATCTGATTTATTAAGTCCTGTATGCTGCTTCACTGTTTCTTCGGACGCTACTCCGACAAACGAAAAGCCTAATAATTTTCCACCTACGATAAGTGTTATAATTAATCCTCCCAGTCCGTCGATGTCGATCGAGAGCAAACACGATTCAGACGCGGAATATAAAATGAGTCCTTTTTTAAGACGACACATTAATGACAGCATGGAAAGGTGTAAGTTATTACTATCATTTATATATACTTTCAAGTCGACGGTGTAACGTTCTTTATAAATTATATGTAAACTTGATTCAGCTCTTTCTTTCTCGAACATAATTAATTTTACATATATTTAGTAAGCGTTGAACTACCGGAATCGGGTTTCTCGCCGCAAGCGACTCGTCGGATAAGCAGCGGAAGTTTGCTGAAAGCATCGGAGATCGTGTCTCTAGCTGCTACAGCCGCGAAGTTCGGTGGTTCCAACGTGAGTTTGCGTCACGAGAAATCCAAGTCCATCGACAAAACGGAGGATGTTAAGAAACTTCCGATCATAAATCCTTTGGTTCAGCTGCCAATGTGGCCGGGTAAGATACGTCTAACATTATTCTTTTTAATCTACCAACTAGAATCTTGGAACGTTTATGTCGTTATAGATGTTAGCGGAGGAGCAGGGTTCATTAGTCAAGCACTGCTCGCGAACGCGGATGCGCTCTGCGCTGCAGTATCGCCGTTAATGGATCCTGATGAAACATTAATGTAAATTTCATATTCTCAATAATAAACAGTAGAAAAGATGTTATACAATGGAAGTTCATGATTCGTTCTGTAATTACAGGGAAGGCTATTTCGAACGCTGCGTTATGAACAATTATTTCGGGATTGGAATAGATGCAAAAATTAGCCTTGACTTTCATCATAAGAGGGAGGAGCACCCAGAGAAATGTCGATCGCGAGCGAAGAATTATATGTGGTACGGTGTACTGGGATCGAAACAGTGGCTACAGAAAACATACAAGAATCTCGAACAACGAGTGCAGTTGGAATGCGACGGTCAACGAATACCATTACCGTCTTTGCAAGGAATCGTTGTCCTGAACATTCCAAGGTAAATCAGATCGTAATTTGTACGAGGCGTTTTGTAAAACAGCATTCTATAATACGATATTGTTGATTTTTAGTTTTATGGGTGGTACGAATTTCTGGGGAGGCACGAAGGAAGGAGATCTGTTTTTAGCACCCTCGTTCGATGACCGGATATTGGAAGTCGTAGCTGTGTTCGGTTCCGTACAAATGGCCGCATCGCGACTTATTAATTTACAACATCATAGAATCGCGCAATGCCAAACGGTGCAAATTAACATCTTGGGCGAGGAAGGGGTGCCTATACAAGTCGACGGCGAGGCTTGGGTCCAACCGCCTGGAATTATACGTATTATACACAAGAATCGCATGCAGATGCTTTATAGAAACAGGGTAAGTAGCATATTGATTTACTGAGGAAGTGTACGCGCTGAAACGCGACGATAGTTACGTCTGATTTATATGTATAATACGCTTCTCTAGGCACTCGAAACATCGTTGAGAACATGGGAGGAGAAACAACGCAATACGTCGAACGCAATATCTCAATCATCATCTACTTTAAGCAATACGCAGTTGCAATCGCAGACTAAGTCTCTACAAGCGTATAGTAAGCCGGCGCATCTGAACGACGAAGAGATGTATATTTTGCTAGGATTTATCGAAATGGTTACTACCTTGGTCAAATGGGTCAAACTCCTTATTATATCCCATCCGAGTTTGGAGCCAGATTTATACCAAGTCGCTGCGCGAACGGCGGAGGCGCTTGAACAGGTTCATCCGGACGGAAAAATTTTGCAGGGAGTTAGTAATTTTTTATAATCAAGACAATTCGTATCGTAAATCGCAAGGTATTTTAAATTTTTCTCGACAGACTAATTTAAGACCAATGGTGACCGAGTTGGTGTCGAGTGCAAGACAGCTCTACGAAGACTCGTGCGAACTGCTTCGAGAGAAGGCGCATAATTTAGTAAGTGTCTCGTATCTCATTGTAGACAGTGTGTGTGTGACAATTCTTTAACGTCTCGTGCTATGTAATATAGAAATTACGCGAGGACTTGGAAACCAAGTTGTCGTTCGCTTTGGCCAGTATGGAACAGGAATTGAAGAAGTGTACCTTCGATGAAGGAGGCACGGGATTGGTGTACTTTCAGAATGCACCGTCCGAGGAGCAGGTACAATTTTTAACTGAGACCGTCCTCTTTGTACATACCGGAAATGAGTGTTTAATAAAATTACTTTTAGGGAGACAAAAAGAATCGTCATAGAGGTTTGTTCTGGTTAAAGTTCCGGCGTTCAGGAGGTACCTGCGGGGTGCATCCGGCCCGGGAGCAGGTGACGATGTGGGGCGTGCAGGAGGTTTGCACCTGGCTGGAGAGCCTGCAGCTGGGCGAGTACACCGAACAGTTTGTCTCGCACGATGTACGAGGTAGGGAACTGTTATCACTAGCCCGTAGAGATCTCAAGGAGCTCGGTATTACTAAGGTAGGACATGTTAAACGAATCTTACAAGCTATCAATGACTTGAATAATTAGGTATACGATGCTTATTTAAACGTTTCAAAGTATAAAGTATACAATCATTAAACGAGTAGTATGTTATAATAATGATATACAGTTGATTACCAGGACATATTCAAATATACATTGGATTCTATTAAAAACGTAGACGTTTAAATCTACACATAGATCATTTGAAAGAGTAGAGAAGAGATTCGATAATTCTTATAATTAAAAATCTCGTGCAATGATAGAACGCACGTGACACGACTGTTCTAATAAATGGGCGGCACTCATGTGTCACAGCAGTGTTATAGAAGAAATAATTTCTAAACTGCTGTGCAATAATGCTTGTGCCAAAGTGTGGAACTGATCTTACACAAGAAAAAACAAGCACAGTTTTCTGTCTTTCAAAGAACACGAGTACGTTGCAATTATAAAATTTTCCGCAGCACTGCTGGACACAGCATTTATTAAGCAAACTTCAGTACGAAATTTAATTCAATTATAATTTAAGTTAAATCAGTTCCTTTGTATGTTGTACAAAAGTCAAAGACTAATGATCACGTTTCATAATGTAAATTATGTATATAATTTTAGAGATACGCGTTGTGTTGGCCTTTTTTACCTTTTTTTATATATCTACGTCTATTATGATTTAAAGTTTCATCATATTAAGTTCACTTGCAACAGTATTAATATTATATTTAAAAGATATATTCTAAATTTAGATGTAAAATAAGTGTCACCCGTTATTGCCTAATTTGTATAAGTGTATTCTATTTACGGCTTAATAGTTTCGCTCTCGTTTTAGTTTCACCGGAAACTGAAATGTGCAAAGAAACAGAAACACGTGTATGTATTACTTACCTGATGATTTCATAAAATGATTTGTTCGATGTTTTTCGATGAATTTCGAACACCTTCAGAATTTCTTGAAGTGATCCGCATAATTTTCTTTCGATGTATTCAGGTATCAATCTGTACACGAACACATCTACCCGTGCACAATCAAAAATACATTGTACATAATATAAAAATGACACACTGTGTACATATAAGTGCTCTACAATTTTTTTAAACTCGTTATTTAGTACTTACACTGTTTGATCATGTTTAAATTTCTAAACAAGACGAAGAACTCTCTATATTCATAAAAACATTTTTATGATAACGGAACATAATTAAATGAAAGTGAGATTTAATTTCTAAAATACGATTAAAACGAGGACGAGTCGCGAACGTTGACGATGAGGAAATACGTGTGTGAAACACCCGCTGATGGCAATAAAAATATCATGTACAAATGTAATAAGGAAACAAACGCAGTAACAAATTTCTAAATAATAACTTCAACGTTACGATGCTAAAAAGCGAAAAACCAAAAAAAGGAGAAGTTATCCCGAAAAAGGTTAGCGCGCGATTGACAATTAAAATTTGCGAAGTACTTAAGACCCTTTTGATTATAACATTTAACATTCAAAAATAATCTCTTATAAATAAGCTTGTGAAGCTAATAATACTGTAGTTACTATTATAACTATTACCGTTATTCTAGTACATAAGTATGATTTTAAACTTACAAACGTAAAATAAGAGGAAACCAAACGTTATGTGTCAAAAACCTATTCGAACTGCCTGTAGTCAAATTGTTGGGAGACGCGTAACAGTCTCTTGACAAGGACAAGACTGCAAATGTTTATGCATTTGTGAGAAATTTTATCCTGGAAAAAAGTGAATGCAAAGATGTTCGAATTTGCAGTAAATCTCGTTGTCTCTTTAATCATTTCTTCCTTAACTCTGCATGTGATCTTCTGTGCGATCGAGCTCTTGTTTAAATACAATATAGGTTAAGTTTGCATAAACATACGCAGTCTATTTATTATTTCGCATGCTCAGCCTCAATCTTATAGATGAAAATGATAGAAGATCAACTGTAATAAAAGAATACTAATTTCTTTTAGACTGACACAATATGTATAAATTATTTTTACGTAGCTCGTCATTTTATTGAAGAAACTCAGTAAATTAGTTAGGGGTAGAGCATGCATCGACGATGTCTTAGGAGTCCCAGTTTCGAATTTATTTCTTTAACATGTACAGATATCCGGTCCTCTGCGTGTTGTAATATTTAATTGGAGAAACGTGTATTTAGATTACAAATTTCTGTGTGTACAAAACGTGTGCTTTACTGCACGCGTGGCTGCGTGTCTTAAACACGTCTGTGTGAAATTCGTTGATCCACGGTGAATTAATCCATTTAATGAACGGTATATCATCACGTTAGATCGTTACAGTATACCGTGTTACACAGTTATTAATTTCTGCTGCCAGACATTACGCAGTGTATATTAATGATTCTATATCTTGCGATTGATCTCAATGTTCTTATACTTCACTTTTTCTAGTCCAATATTTTTATTATATAAAGAGTATTGAATTACTATACGTGTTCATATTTTCACACGGATACTTCAAATTCCTTTCGTTACATTAATTTAAATGTAATAATTTAATGGGAAGAATGTAAGTCAGTTGGAGAATTTTAACGCACATCCTAACGAAAAGAAACATAACATATTTCGATCCATCGATTCGATAACTTATTAAAGAAGGAGTTACAGTTAAACTGCTCTTCGGTAATATATTGAAAGAAACCTTTTGGAGGTACTCTGACTTGACCTAAAACAGTTTGTTCGTTACACCCTTGCCTTCTCAAGTAATACTTAAATGCTCAATCTATGAATAAATTAATTTTTTCATAATGATATAAATTTTCATTCCAAACGAGGACAGAAGTGCCTACCTAGATTTTCTAATCTTGAAACGTTTACAAGCAGCGTTTAATTGACTGGCGGTCATGTTATAATTAGACTGCGGATGTTTATGATGCAATCACAACATTTGCTGTAAAAGAAGCAATACGATTGAAGAATGATACATTGTTCAATCTATCATACATTGTTCAATCACTTGTCCACAGAATATGCAAAGAGAGTATATTATACAGGGTAAAATATCGACTTTCCAGTTTTTCTAATAATAAAATGATCATTTCAATTGTACACTTTATTCTGTTTTATATCACAATATGTTTTACACATAAATATCTCCGCAGTATAATCGTAACAAATTACATTCTGCATTCCAAATTTTACGTTAAATAATCATCGATGGTACTGGATCATAGAAATGATTTTCATGCGTTGTCTATCAAATACTGTACGCAGCAGTTACAATAAGTTATATTCGTCAGTATTATAATAACATTAAGGTGTTAATTTGATGATTGAATATTTAAGATTACTGAAAATCTCTAGCCAGAAAATAGTAAGCTAATAATAACGACGCACGTATGTTACACGATATATAAATATCGATAAACCACCGTTCAAAAGCATAGTTCGAAATCTTATTAAACTAAAGACACAGCGTAGAGATATTCTGTTAGAATAGTACCAAGGGAATCTTATATTTTCGACTAAATACGTTTAAATAACAGTTGAAAGTTGACTTAAAAAGAGATAGATCTGCAACGCATCGCTATGTGTATTATTTGGCTCAGTTAAATTTAAATTGTAGAATTGGATAGGATAAAAACCCATTGTACGCGAAGAACGTAATTCATAATCTTTCCCTTTTTCGATATAAGGTTGTAAGGATCCTAATAAACTTCTAAACTGTGATAAATAACAGACACATTTTAGTAGCGAACGTATTAACACGCTATTAGTAGTATTTCGATAACTATTATTGTATTTCGTTAAGAAACGTGTTTCATTTCGAAATTAAAAACGTGTTTATCACTCTTGCTTCCTTTACTTAAGATACGATATAATGTATACGTCTATCCTCCAGATCTGATTTGTTCAATGATTTGCAGGATGCGTGCGTAATAATAAAAATTCGGCTAATTATGTATGTTATATTAATGTCATATAATTATGAAGTGTACCAAATATTTAAATAAAGAATTTCTTCTTTGAGGGCTAAATCAACCCAGGTTTTATTATATTGTTTCTACATCCATAGTCAATTAATTTTTTTTAATATTCTGTATACAATAAACGAGTAAAAATAGTTCACATCTGAATCTGCTCTTTCCGTAAATTAATATCTTCTGCAATAAGATTTACATATTATTATTGTCTGCAATTATTTAAATATTGTACAAGTAAATGCGTATGTTCATCTTATATTTTAATGTGTGTTGCACAAGTTGTTTATGTACAATTAATACATAACAGCACATGATCAATCACAAGTTTGACGACTCTGAGACACAATTATATGGCACTTCTAAAGTTCTATTCCTTTCCGATTATTTCGAGACTCTCGTAAATGATGAAATTGACTAGATACCCAAGTTATGCATTATTTTATATCAATAAGAAAAAGTAATTTATTATGAAGAGCTTAACATCTAGTATTGATTCTGGATTTGCAAACATATGTGATCACATATTTTCAAGAAGTACAACGTTTTATTCGCAGCAGCGTCGACTCCTTTCCTAAGATCTCCATCATTTCAGCTACTGGTGGACCCGCCTGAAAATAAAAAGAACCAACATCATACTGCACGTATACTTTCACGTGATTAAATAATCATTATCCATTTACTTTCAAACCGCAAATTACAGAACGTAAGCATTTCATCAGTGTCGCATACGATATATCATGTTCGTTAGAAAACTCTTTAAGGTACTTATTCATCCATGCAGTATTAAAATTTTCACTGTTAATCTCAACAAGCTTTGTACTTAATATTTTAAGCGTATCTGTGAAAGGAGGAACAGCTTCAGTTATATAAAAAAAACGTTTTATATGACCACAACTTTACCTATATGGTCTAAGTAAGTATTGTCCGCTGATGTAGCGGGTACAATCCATAAAAATTCTAAATCCGGAGATACTAAATCATTCAATTTCGATATTCTGTTCTGTGCCCATTTTAACGTAGACATTATATGATGTTCGTCTAATTGTAAACTACCATCCGTTTGTCTGAAACAATACTTAATATGTATGAACGAGAGAAAGAGCACAGTAAAAGTAACAGCAAGGTAAACTGTGTACCTATTTGGGAATGCTTCCGTCACCAACTTCTTAATGCGTTCGATTAAAAATTTCTTATTCTTTTCGTACGCCAATAATTTCGATATTTCTAGTTTGTTAAACTCCAGCAATTTTGGAGGCGAAAGTTTCCCAGAACTTACTCTTATTTTCGAAACATCAAACTGAAATAATAAAGAAGGAATAAAATGTACGGTGTAGAGATAGGGACAGTCTGTGCGTTAAAAATTGAATATAAGTACTTCTTTAATTAATTCCTCATAACTGTTAATGTAATTGGCACCACCCTTGTTATCGAAACCACCACCGGCGTGAATAACATAATTTAAAACTGCTAATGGAAAAATTCCTTCTTTTCTAAAGGATTCAATCGTTATATCATTTTGCCTCTTCGATAATTTCGATCCATCGGAATTTAATATTAACGGCAAATGTCCGTATATAGGCGGAGTCCAATTAAATGCTCTGTAATAATTAGATAATTACATTCATCTTCGATAGAACTTCAACTCGATCAAAATGCATCTAGGAATACTTATTGTTCATCTAAAAGTATAACACATTCTGACTTCAAACATATTTTATTACTCATCGTACATTATTTATGATACATATAGAAACTTATATCGCAACTATTCTGTTTCTACGTTATATTAAAAATATCCTACAATTATTTTACATTGAAAATATGACGATTCAAAAATGCTATGTATATGTATAAAATTGATTAAGATTGTTATAACAGTACTTACTTATACATCATTATGTGCTTAGGTGTAGATACTTGCCACTCGATTCCCCGTAATACATGAGATATTTCCATAAAATGATCGTCAACGACGTTTGCAAAGTGATAAGTCGGATACCCATCTGTTTTAATGATAATTGGATCTCCTTCCCTCTCCCCGACGTTCTGAGTTATTTCACCGTATATTAAATCATCAAAACGTTCTACACCTGGAGATAACTGCAAAATGATGGACGTTTAAATTTTCATTCAATCACGATATATATCGTACATTACTTTCGTATACCTTGAACCTAATACAAAAAGGAACTCCCTTATTCAATTTCATTTTCACTTCGTCAGCATTTAAATGTCTACATCTATTATCATACTTAGGCACTTGTCCAGATTTTAGTGCTGCCTTTCTCACTAATTCTAGCCTGTGCTCCGTGCAGAAGCAGTAATAAGCAGACTGATTCTCTATAAGCTTTTCCACTTGTTCCCTGTAATTCAAGATCTCCTTTGTTTAAATGATATCAACTTTCAAACTGTACGAGTCAGTTACTATAATAATTATCTGAAGTTCGATTTAAAAACAGAACATATACTTGTATAAATCGAGTCGTTTAGATTGTACGTAGGGGCCAACAGGCCCATTTCTTATTGGATCCTCGTCGGCTATGATTCCAGACCATAGCAAGTCGTTTTGGATCTTTTCCATTGCTCCTGGTACACATCTGGTTTGATCAGTATCTTCGATTCGCAGAACGAATGCACCATCATTAGCACGTGCAAATAAATAATTATACAACGCGGTACGCAAACTACCTACGTGTAACAAACCTGAAATCATATGATATCTCCTTAATTTATAGATATATATATATAAAAAGAAATAAATGAACGTGTTACATACCAGTTGGACTGGGTGCAAATCTGACTCTCACTTGTACCTTCTTAAAGAATCGTTTCTGTACAAATTGGACGTTTACAACACGTAAAATGTTATGCTTCATCGTATCACAAATTGAATTAAAGTTTTATTTGAAGTTTCATTGAATCTCGTCAAGTATAAAAATATATTCTATCTTATATCGTATGACGAAACTTCCAGTTTATGTAAAACTGTACTTATATATAGCGTCGACGTGTCTTTATTAGATTAAATTTTTAATTGCGGTCCTTTTAAGGTGAATAAAAATACATTACCGAGATCAGATAATTCATTTATACTTATGCTTTCCATTCCTACGATTATACGACACATGTTATTAGAATACTATCGAATCTAGTAAAAAGTAAAAATAGATATTAGAGATGGCGTTCAAAATCACTAACCGTGATTTTTCTACTGATGGCTTGAACTGCTACCAGAGATGAAGAGGAAGATTGCTCATTTCTTTGTTCGAAAGTGGACACTAGTTTTTTATTTCTCATTATTTATGTATTTTTTTGTAACATAATTTCTCAATATTTGAAACTCATTTAAATTTTACCGCCAAGAGACGCACTTCCGCTTTCGAAACAATATGGCTGCTCATTTGCCGATTACGAGATTTTAAGAATAAGCAACGACTCTGAATACCGGCCTTGATTTTATAAGTTTTATACTTCATGCATGAAAAAGAAGTGAGAGACGCGGAAAAGGAGAAAAACCATTGCACAACTTTCCCGTTTCTTTCACTTCTTTTTCAAGCATGAAGTATAAAACTTATAGTATCTGAACATACCATAAATGTGTACATTGAACGCGGAACGGTGGGACATACCAGGGTTGCCAGAAAAGTGTATCTCATACCCCCTCCAGCAGCAACTTGCCTCGATTCCCCTCTCGCGATATTCAGCAGAGAGGAACGTCACGCTGTTTCTACTATGGTATTGCGAGAGGGGAATCGAGCCAACTTGCTAGTGGAGGGGGTATGGGTTACAATGGGATACATTTTTCTGGCAGCCCTGGGATGCACTTAAGTGCTAAGTGCCAAGTGCGAGAAACGACTATAAATACTGTGCTGAAATTGCCAGTAAGAAATGAAACGCACGTGGCGAAATATTCTAAATCGTGATTAAAAATTGTTTTGAGCTATTTGTACTTGGAGCGTCATTCCGGTCGCCAGGACCGTGCGCGCGGAGAAAATTCGTCAACTTTTACGTTCTACGATACTGGTATGGTATAGTAACGGTGGTGTTAACAGATGATTGGTCTGTTTTAGTTACCGATAGCGTTGAAAGGATGCATTTCAGTCGCAGGCCAAGCGCCGCAAGTTCCGCGCGGGGCGGGTGTTGTCATTGTATTTTCACGTGAAGAAAAGTGAATTTTCGCAGGATATTCGGGAACGAATTTGCGTGAAAATGCCGCCGAAAAAGCGGGAGAGAGAAGTAGACGGGCAGAGAGGTCCGCGGCTAGATCATATACAAGCAGACCACGAGCTGTTCCTGCAGGCCTTCGAAAGTAAGTCCTTTCAGACACCACATTTACTTTCCCATGCGTCCCACGGCTCCGGGACTAATTAGCATTGAATAACGGACCGAGCGAACAATCGGTGTTTGGACGGTTTTATACATTTATGTTCGTTTTTTCCGAGTGATCGCACATAACCCCACTCATTGAGAACGTACTGAGCGCCGAATCGCGCGTCGGTACACCCTCGTTCCCTCCTTTACTTCAGCTTGCGGACACCTGTCATTCTTTGACCGCGTTCAAAGAATCTTAGATGTAATGAAATTGATGCCAAGTTACTACGTTTAATTGCAGACAAGCATTCATATACGTACTTATCGCAGTAACTTCGAAACTTATAATATTAATATTATCCCACAATGTATTTTTATAATTCATGATCAATAAGTATTATTTGTTTCAATGAGTCCAGTTTATAAAATTTAGTTCTGTTTAGTCTCAATTAAGATCATGAAGGAAATCCGAATTCTGCGAAACAACGATGAGTTCAGCCTGGCGAAAGTTTGTTTTTACTTTATAAAAATGATTTCACACACATTTGATACGGATATTTTACAATTAATCTTTCTTATAAAATATGATGTTTCTTTCGGATTGAATTGAAATAAAATGGGATCAGAGAGGTTTAACCTGCGTTGAACGTAACAAGGATAAAAATCCGCAGGCTTCTCGTATTCGGACGAGAAAAACCTTATCATCACTTCCCATTTGAAATTCAGGAAGAATCAGTCTGGCAATTTGTCGTTCTTCTTTATAGACCTACAGAGAGAGTAGTTTACTTTCGAGATAAAATTTAAGCCGTTTGCCATCTAGCGATACTGAACTCAATTACTTCTTTCTTTCGTAATAATTGTTCTTTTTTTTTTAAATTAAATAAAGGGACACATCTTGCAATACCTTTTTGTTACTCTCGAATTAAATTCCGGATTTTCTTTTTCAGAACCAACTCAGATATACCGATTTCTACGCACAAGGAACCAAATATCAGTGAGTAGAATTATAATAAACCAGATACATGCTTTTTATTTTATTTTAATCGTTAATTATTTATACTTATATTATATTTAACTTATTCCTCAAAGTGTTAACTGAGTACTCTGATATTTAATGATATTGAAAAAGAATATGTTTATTAGATGAAATCGAAACAAGTACCTGCATGTAAGTGCATCTGGTACAATGTTTTTTCTTGTATCAACGATTTGGTGAACTTTTGTTTTCGATTTTTATGAATAAATAAATTCTAATCTCCGCTAGAGTGTTTGTGAATATTTCTGCGTTGTAATAAAAATTTGTATTCAGATCTTTTACACTTTAGTTTGATCATATTGAGCGGTAGGTATACAATTCTATTATAAAATTGTTGTTTATAATTCAAGTGAAAATGTACTATTTATTTATATTTGTTTGGAAATTAAGGGGGACGAGATTGTACATTTTATGCAATTTCTTTTTAGCCAATATTTCTGTATAGAAATTTAACTTACATGAGGCAGCGTATGTCCAGAAGCCATAAATCGAGACGAGGCTTCAAAATCGACGCGATATTAGAAAAACTAATGTCGAAGAATAATCAAGAACAGAATCTCGCTATTCGCGGATACATGACACTCACTTTTCTAGGTTTTTATGATAAGAAAGGTAAGTACGTTCGGAAGTACTGTATTCCATCGAGCATACGTTTCATTGACGATTCATTACAGTTGAAGCACCTCATGATCCCGTGAAAGTGGAAACGTTATTATTAAAAATATGTCACAAGAAACGGAAAGACGTCAGTTCGCCCATTATGCAGGCAAGCGTAACTGTTTTAATTAAATGATCGACTAACGTGCACGAATCTCAGAAGAATAATAAGTAAATGTTATTACAGGTTTCCGTTGGCACAAGCGAAGTTCCAATCAATCCTTGCGAGAATCAACCGCCTCCGAAAGCACCTACTATATCGATACCTAACGAATCGTTCAGTTTAAATAATGGTCACGTAGCAAAGACTTATATGCTTCTACTTAGAGTGTATTGTACATCCAATACTGGCTGCCTTACGCATAACTGTGATTTAGATGGTACAAGTCTACTCTACGGTTCCAACACATCAAATCATCATGGATCAATTTTTAAAATATATGTACGAGCATGCTTTCATAATCACTTTCTTGCAGAACCAGCTCAAAAGCGTCGTAAGTCGTCTACAGGTTCGATTAAAAACGGAGGGGAAGACATAAAATTGTACGGTTCCGAGCTCATAGTGTACGATAAACATAACCGATGTCTATTGACTGACGGCGATTACGAGTTAGGATTACAAGAAGTACAAACTAATATTCGATCCAGCCCAAAGAAGCACAGCTCTTGGGAATCTGTACCTGATATCAAGGATTGCAGCCCGTTCGAAATATTTAGCAAAGGCCCGACATTAAAATTTAGGCTTAATTGGACGACCGAGCCGAGCAACGGTTTGGTTGATAGACCAGCTCCGATACACCCGATGCCGAGCGTTGACAACAAAGAAAATCGATCCGGAAACGGTAAGTCAGGCTACACTCTCTTTTTGACAAAGATCAAGAGTACTGAACTGTTTCGTCTTCTTTGTTTCAGCTGCTCTGGAACGCTCTTCCACGAATAATAATAATATCAGTAGTAATAACAATAATAATAATAATAACAATAGTAGTAGTAATAACAACAATAATTCTACACTGCCAACACCTAGTCCACTTAATCCATCGAGAATGACGACGACACTTATTGAAAAGACGGACACCACGATGGCCACGCAGCAAATAGTTTATCAGTTCCTGTATAATAATAACAGTCGCCAGCAGACGGAAGCTTGCGAGGATCTGCATTGCCCCTGGTGTTCATTAGACTGCGGAAAACTTTACTCGCTTTTAAAGCACTTAAAATTATGTCACTCGCGATTTACATTTACGTACGTGGTAAGTAGTTATTTTTAAATTCAGGGTGCGGCGATGTTAATGCATAATGATCTAATTCTTTATGCTGAGACGTCTGGGTTTTATTAAAATTCCTAGCCAGTGACTTGCTTCTCTTTACTTTCGAATGAGAAATTAGCTCGTTTGTAGTAACTGTACCGTCGCATTCCGATATCTTATTATGAATGTTTGTTTAGCCAATTCCACAGGGTGCTCGAATAGACGTAGCAATAAACGAGTGTTACGACGGGTCCTACGCCGGTAGCCCTCATGAATTAATCTCGCAGCCGTCGAGCGTCGCGTTCTCGAGGACAGGACCGACGAGGCGTACCAGCGTAACGAATATTTTAGTGTGTCGGCCGAAGAGAACTAAGCCGAGCCTCTCGGAATTTTTAGAACTCGACGAGAATGAATACGAAAGCCAAAGACCGTACATTACAGGCCACAATAGGTACGGCGTTTGATTAAGATTATAATTGTACACTGGACTTGTCGCACACGATGAATCGAACACAACGTTCCAAATTTGCTTCAGGTTGTATCATCACACCGTTACGTGTTTGCCCATATACCCGAAGGAGATGGACAACGACTCCGAGGGTGAGAACGACCCGAAGTGGTTGCAAACGAAGACGATGATGATGATCGACGATTTCACGGATGTGAACGAAGGGGAGAAGGAGCTGATGAAAATGTGGAATTTGCACGTGATGAAACACGGTTACGTGGGAGACTGCCAAATACCGTTGGCTTGCCAAATGTTTTTAGAGACTAAAGGGAAGGAATTGCTCATGAAGAATTTGTACCGTAATTTTGTCTTGCACATGTGCAGTTTGTTCGACTTCGGCCTGATCAGCCCGGTGGTTTTATATCAGACGATCCAGAAGCTACAGGAGATTATGAAGGAGGGCGGCGAGGACAGCGACGTCCGAAAGGTTTTACAGAAATCTCACGAGGCTCAAGTCGAGAAGTGGCTAGCCTCCGGGTGTCACGCGACTGCGGGCGTTAAACTCGAGACTGCGGCCAGTAAGGTGAACTTCAATAAAGAAGGATCAAATTCTAACGCTAGACGAAAAACTACTCTGCCGCTCGGCTCGCCGAACTCGCAGTCCGTGAAGAGCGCGTCCATTCACAACAACGTTACCAAGCACGCCAGCATGATGAACACATCCTCGAACAAGACTGTTAATCATAATAGCTCTATCAACAAGAATGCAGGATCGTTCGCGTCCGTGCAGAACATTACGAGTAAGACTGCTGCTTCCACGGTTTGCGCAACGAACGCGACTAATAGTAAAACTTCCACGGTGGTTTCTATACCGAACGGGACGTCGAGTCAGAACGACATGGGACAGAAACAGGTGAACGATGTGCCGGCAAGGCGTAAGAGTACAAATTCGATAGTTCAAATCACGGAGAACGCGACGCCGTTGCGTCGGAAATCAATGGCGAGCGAGAACGCGACTATCGAATATCACAGAAGGAAACTGGTATTAGACTCGGTACCAAATAACGGTAATAGTAACCAAAAACCAGCCCAAAACGGAAGTAGCTATTAGTAACCGTTATACACGCATATATACAATACGTTGCTGTGCTAATGTGTACGTTTTTGTACAGTATTTGTTGCAAATGATATAACTCCGGTTAGGATGATCGGCATTAACTATAGCTGATAACTGATAATCATTGCTCTAGCCACTAGATCAATTTTTCTATATAAATTTGAAAGTTTTGACGGTCGAAGCAAAATGACAAATTTTCGAATAGTTCGAGTGATAGCCCTAAATGAAATTTGATAATACGAACAGATAAATTATTTTGACTATGCGAAAGCCAAAAATCTTTATTTCTTCAGATATGAAAAGAAAAAGAGACAAGGAAATATAATGCACGCGTTCTTTCTTGGTCTAGTCAATGATACTAATTTGTACATTTTCGATAATCTGAAAATTGATTTGCTTAGTAGTATAATGAGAATCGTATTGCCTCGTATACTTATAATTTACACGATTTGCTAATTGTAATATTTTAATAGCAGAGGACTGAGAAGGGAAATTAGGGAATGTACGTCAGGTTTATGAGTGACTACGATTCGTGAACGAAGTCGAAGTAGTAGCTGGACGAAACCTTGTACGATTCGCGGACAGGGACGATATTCTTTTACACGATAGGAAAAGTCGTATCATCTGTGTAACATTGATTTGAGACCGAACTGGAAAAGTTAGTACATAATCTATTAAAAGATGGGACCTTCATACAAATTACTTCGTGTGAACTCAATTTAATAAACCGAGGCTGTAAGTTATAAGTTTTACCCCCCTGAAGAAAAAAAAATAAGGAATAAGCTGTTATAAAAAAAGTGCCTTTATGAAAGCGAGAGTATCTGGATCAATGAGGGTGACTGTCGCCATTAAGTGTGGCATTAAAGTTCTGCGTGGAGTACTTGTACTCGGATATCTGTCGATTGTACGTCGTTTTCTCTTCCTTTTTTCTAGCAACGGTTTTTGTTAATTGTCGTTCTATCAGATAAAATTTATAGATAAGAAGAATCGAATGCAGAGTAAGAACTTTAATACGTTACGATGAATTTATTCTGTGTGTATTATACAGAAATTTTACTGCCGATTATCGTTCGAAGAAACATTTTACATTCCCGTACGTGGTACGCGATTACAATGTAATTAAGTAACGAAGTGTCTCGTTTCAATTTTCTAGCGACGTTCCGATTTCTAGGAAATCAATTATCTTCGAACGAGTTTTATCACTGTCCATTTAATATATTATTACTTGCGCTAGGTTGTAAATACATATAATAAACGATAGAACCATGAGAATTCTTGAGAAGTGTTCATTACTCTTACTTGAAATTATACGAATTACTTTTTGTTAATTCTCTAGGCTAATGATATATCACTTGACCAGCGGTTCTTCTTTTAAACTGCCGGCAATTGTACCATGTATGTACATATATACACAGGGCACACTATTATGTACCAATTAATTTGTAAATACAAATTAATTTACACGTAATAGCGTATGTGTTGAAATTATTGTAGATCTTAAAAGGGAACAGACCTCGAGTTATCATACTGCAAAGGCATGTCTCGTCGAGGAACGATTTTCGTTTCTTAATCAATTACATTGTTCGGTTAATTTATTTCGTATCTTCATAAGGATCATGTGTTTCACTCTGTTGTAGTTGAAATACCGGGGAAAATCAATTTTTACGTATTCGACGTCCCAGTTCAATTGCTCTCTTTCAATGCGCCTTAGAAAGTCTTCGAACATCGGGGCAACCGTTTCCATGTCAGCTGTGGTAAAGACAAATCTCTTTTCCAGAGCTATATAAACTACTTTCGGTGTTTCCGAGTTTAAAAGTTTCGCTAACGTTTGGACGAACCCTGTTGTTATAGTTTCATCGTAAATGACTGCAAGTATACAAAACAAAATTAGATACACTAATTTTATTCTGTGAAATTCAGAACTCACCGTCAGCAGCTAAAATGACAGTAGCCTGATGTAAGTTTTGTTTCGTAAATGTCGGCCAGTCCAAGTTTAAAAAATCTAGTTCGTTAGTACAGATCTTAGACTTAATGTACGACTTGTTCCTTTCAATATTTCTGCGTATCAATTTCAATATTCCTTTCACGTTGATATCTTCAAAGCGAGAAACGTGTTTACAAATTATACATCTAACATATTAAAATCAATGATACGGTCAACCATTAATCCTGTTACCTGTGCAAATTACTTCTTTTGCCAAGAAGCTAGCGACTATGCTAGTTAAACCAACTCCTGCGCCTAATTCTAAGACGATTTTGTCCCTGAACAGGTCAGGATTGGATAAAATGTAATCAGCTAACAATAAGGCACCTCGCCACACTTGTAATCCAACATGCTGCAACTCAGTAGACGTTCGATGCTCTAAAGACATTGATGTACGTTTTCCCCTTGTATCAAGTAGCTTATTTTATATTTAATCAATCTTTACCTATTAGCAATTTCCCTTCTTGCTGCCTATCTATGTCTATATCATCATCTTTATCACGATTTATTACAATACCATTAGGATTGTTTTGTTTAATCATATAGGAGGGATACTTAAAAACAAAGCTTGATATTGTGTCTGAAAATGATTACACTTATTGATACGTCGTTAATAAGAATATAAAACGCTACTAAAACTTACTACTATTTCGATCTTCTGACAAATTTTCATTCTCCGTGAATATTTCTGACGTTACTGTATACCGTGTCATGTTGGATAACGAACATTCATGACGGTGAGAAAATATTAATAACTCGATTTAAATCAGTACTCGTAATTAGACGCATATTTACAGATGTACTTAGAAAACCATGATACGATGAAACGTTCAATTGAAACTTTTTATACTTAATCGGAAGAATTAAGTTGATATACGAATGCTCTGATTTCCACACGGTTAAACTGTTACCGTTAATTCAGCCGGTCATATTTTAACTGACCTTATGTAATGTCATATTAGATCTATATATTTTTCAATCTTCCAAATAAACGTCACCTTCAACTTTTTAATATACAATACTTAATAAGTTACAGAAATAATTTGCTGTTCATGTTTATAAAACATTTAATTATCATCATGTCTCTAAATTAGATTTTGTAAAGAATATCCACGTTTTGCTGTTTTCCCTGACAGCAGGAAATAGAAAACATTGCGTTGCCTTACGAGGAGGATATTTTGAATTAAAATTATAGGTACGTAACAGTGACGTAATACAAGAAGAAAAATCGATGAACGTTCTGAGATTCAACTTTGAAAATGAAACCACTGGTTTCTCCTACAGTGGTAAAAAAAAAGAAAATAGATTTTATACATGTATTAATGGATAATTTTTCTTATACGCAGCCTTTATTAAATGCAGGTAATAAAGGAAATATTCTAATTGGAGGTGATGATTAACGTAAGGTTAAATTTCACGAAAGCACGGATAATTATCTGTATCGCGAAATGATAAAATAGTGTGTATCGGCGAAAAATAAAATGATCTTGTAACCCCTGTATACATGGTAATCTAGTAATCTCGCGTGATCTCGTGGAGTTTTACAGTCCTGCCAGATTCTTGGATTCTGGCATCACCCAATCAACGGCTCCCACGATGGACGGTGGATGCCACGCATTAAACCACGATCTACCGTCTGTATAGTTTCTTCCTGTATCATTGTATTTGATCACTTCGTTTGTGCCAGTTTGTGCTCGCTCTCCTTCAACTTCAACGAACGAACGGTGCTGACCGTGCTGACGACGGTGTCTCGCTATTGTAACAGTAGAATCACAGTTTTCTTCTGTTTCCTCTACAATAGGTTTTTTTCTTTAAATAAGTACGTGCTGTGATATCTCGTCTAACGAGGAGTAACATCGCGACCGTTCGAAAATGAAGTTTCCTACGCTAATTTTAGCGTTTATTTGTTTATTCGCATCGACTTTCGCGAAAATTGAAACCGAGGACTCGGTTTTAGTTCTGACGAAAGATAACATCGAGGAAGCTATCAAAAGTAACGACTATCTCCTCGTCGAATTTTGTAAGTAAACTGCAGCTTAGTTTTAGACAGATTTCTGTCGGCTGTTAAAGGATAACGTGATCTTGGGATCGGTCAAGCTGTTTTTGTACTATGCGCACATGTAAGATGCTTCTGAAGCTGATCCAGATGCTTACACGTCATCATTTAGATGCCGGTCTTTAATAAAAATTATACCTACTTGTTAACGTTATTTTCGTCTGATCTCCCGTGATGTATAAATAAGTTGAAAAGACTAAATATTTATTACGCTTGTTTCACGTAAGATTCATAATATCTCCGAACGTGTCTAAGTCTCATGGTACGACGATCATCTATGGGGATAATATTGCTGAAAGTCATTTTAATCATATTCTGTATTAAAATTCAGATGCACCATGGTGTGGCCATTGCAAGGCGTTAGCTCCCGAGTATGCTAAGGCAGCAAAGAAATTAGAGGAGACCGGATCCCCTATAAAATTAGCTAAAGTCGATGCGATCGTTGAAACGAAATTGGCAGAGGAGCATGGAGTACGTGGCTATCCTACCCTCAAGTTTTACCGTAAGGGATCTGTTATCGACTACGGTGGTGGTCGTCAAGCAGATGACATCATCAAGTGGGTAACGAAGAAGACTGGTCCAGCTGCTAAAGATTTGCCAACAGTTAAGGAGGCTAAAGACTTTATCGAAGCGCATGATGTGGCCACTATTGGATTCTTTAAGGTATCATTATATTGTCTCTTTTTTTAAAACGCATGTATCTAAGATATCTCTTTGATTACATCGATTAGGATGTGGAATCTCTTGATGTAAAAGCATTCTTGGAAGTTGCTGCTACTGTAGACGATCATGCATTTGGTATAAGCAGCAACGAAGAAGTTTTCAGTGAATACGGAGTAGAGGATGGTAAAATTGTTTTGTTTAAGAAGGTACATAATGTTTTGTTTATCTCATAAAATCGTAAATGTATTTAAACGATGTAACATGTTTCATCCAATTCGTTTTAGTTCGACGAGGGCAAGGTCGAATTTAAGGATGATATCGATATTCTGAAATTACAAAACTTTATCGCTGTATATTCACTGCCATTAGTTGTTGAGTTTAATCAAGACACTGCACAAAAGATATTCAATGGCAATATCAAGAGCCACCTTCTTGTCTTCCTTAGCAAAGAATCTGGCGATTTCGACGAGTACGTGGAAAGGCTTAAAGAACCGGCGAAGAAATTCCGTGGAGAGGTACAACAAATCAAATAGATGAAACAATGTCAAAATAGGAAGTGTCATGATTATAAAAGACACTCTGTTTTATTACATAGGTTTTGTTCGTGACGATTAGTGCCGACGAGTCCGACTATGACCGTATCTTCGAATTCTTTGGTATGAAGAAGAGCGAGGTACCTGCTATGCGTATCATTAAACTCGAACAGGACATGGCCAAATACAAACCGGACAAACCGGAAATAACCAGTGAAAACGTTTTGGAATTTGTAACTGCGTTCGTCGAGGGAAAAACGAAGAAACACTTGCTTACGCAAGATTTGCCCGAGGACTGGGACAAGAATCCTGTCAAAGTCCTCGTTAGTACTAACTTCAATGAAGTTGCATTCGATAAGACGAAGAACGTTTTAGTTGAATTTTACGCTCCGTGGTGCGGACATTGTCAGCAGCTGATTCCTGTTTATGAAGCAGTATGTTTCAGCAGTATATTTCAATTAAGGCTGGGATAATTATCCGGATTATCCTATGTGATCCACTTTATTTCTTGAATATTCGAATAACTGCTGACTACGGATATTCGGACGATCCCAGCCCTACTACTAATCTTCCAACAATATTTAATCAGAATGCTTTTAACAATATAACGCGTTTTCAGCTTGGCGAGAAATATAAAGATAGCGAAGATTTAGTGATAGCCAAGATGGATGCCACCGCGAACGAAGTGGAGAGTGTGAAGATCATTAATTACCCAACGATTATCCTTTTCAAAAAAGAGTCTAACGATGTAAGGATTTGACGAGTAGAAAACATTCTGATACAACGTACATTATAGAAACTTGTTCTAAACGTTAGAAATTCTTGAAATTTTAGCGCGTGGAATACAACGGGGAGAGGACGCTCGAAGGACTTTCAAAGTTCATCGAATCCGATGGTGTCTACGGGCAAGCTGCAGAAGAAGTTCGTAAAAACGCTTCGATTTAATATCAGTTAAATGTGTCGCGGTTATATAATATGGCATCCTTTTTTACAGGCTCAAGAAGAGGATGAAGATGATGATGTGCCAAGGAAAGATGAATTATAAGAATAACGTACATCGTGTCACAAAGGAACATATTTAATAATTTCTCATAATTACTGTTCACAAAGTTTTAAAGAATATTAATTTATAGCAGAGCTATTAAGTAATCGCTCATCTTTTTTTATCTTAGCATTTTCAAGCTTAAGTTTACGAATAAACTTTTTCATACTATACGATTAACTTTAGGATTCCTTTGCAGTTTTTACACAACCATCGTTTACATAAACGTATAAGCACACACAAGTTATTCTGTGTACGTACATGTAAACGTGTAGACGTGCTACGATTGGCATAATTCAGTCTAGAACGTACAGTTCGTCCGGCTGAATGTATCTGATGTGATGAGAATTGCACACGGGAATAAAGCAATTTATTTTATATATGTGTTAGACTTAAAAGCTATTTTACATGGATCATATCAGATGTACGAAAATTATCTATATGTACATCAGAACAAACCAAACGATCGCGACACCGTACGTGTCGCTGTCATTGTCTTCTATCTTCATTTCTTTTATACATCACTTACTATTCTGAACATTTTAACGTTTAGATACATAATACATTCTATCTTGTGGTGTTGATGTACGATGATGTAAACATGTGAAAAATCAGTAAGCTAAGGTTTCGGCAAAAAGGAGGTCGTGTTTTATTTTTATAAAAATAAGAAACTTTGTTTTTATGTATACATACATACGCGGGTCACACATTTAAAAATTACCATCTAGCAACAACGTAATACAGTGTAATTATACTCGAAAGCATAATTTTTTCTATCGAGATCTGCAATTGACAAACACATTTCCATTTACAGCATTTAGACAATTCTACTAATTAGTTTTACAAGCATTTAATAATTAGATATCGTTTCAATGTTTTTATCATTGAGTTTAATTAAGTGAAAGTTTTATAAGAGGAATATATGTTAATATATAGATATATACATATAAATGTAATATATACTATATAATATACTTATTCTCTTGAACGAATCCAGTAAATAGTAATATCTATTTTCCTTATTAAATGAGAGAGAGCTAGTATATGTATGTACAAAAGAAGAAATCCTGAAATATACCATGTGAATGTATATATCAAACTGTGTACGAGAGGCACTGTTAACACTTTGAGTAATTCTTTCAAATATTTATTGCCTTACAATTATCTTTAATTTACCGATTTTCATGATTATTTACCAGAAACAGGAAGATCCGGTCGTGCAAATGGACGGACCGTTCGATCTCTTAAAACTATTGGAGTTTTTACATCGAACGCTAGTATTCACGGAGGAAGTGAAGGATGCATTGAAATTGGATTGTGACGAAGCAGATTATTGTTTGAAATCATGGTCTGCTGAAGCCTGTCCTCAGGAGGAGATTGCTAAAGATATTTCTTGCACTTGTCCCAAAGTAAGATTAACAAATAATATACGTCTAATACAATTGTATGAAACGAAGTCATTTTAATCTTTACGTCTATATGGAAGCGTGAGAACGAAGCTGAGGAAATAGCTACGGGTATTAGTAGAGCGTTGTTACAAACGCAGCAGTTACGTGAGAAATTGTCTCTTAATGTAAAGGGACGGAATTACAAATGTTTGAGCATGTACGAAAGCTCCAAGGAAACTGGTAACTGGCTTTATTCTATTCGAAGGAACAGTGTAACACCTTCGTTAATTATTTACGTATCTTCAGATAATAAAAAACAGACGGATAAGAAGAGCGCGAACAATAGCAATATATATTCTAAAAAAGGTTTAACTGAAGCAACAGCAAGTGCTGATAAAAAGATTGATAATAAAATAGTTAATAAGAATGCAAATAAGAAGTCGAATGATGATGACAAGAAGTTAATTGTACGTCCAGCAAAATTAGGAACTAAAAATTTTCTTGCAATAAATAAAAAGAATATAAAAAATATGGTACAAGCCAAACAGTTGGAGAATGCTAAATCTAATAGTTCAGTGGTACAGGTAATTTTATTATCCCTTGATTTATAATCAATTTCAAGCGAGAGAATAGTTTTAATTATTTTATATGTTAATTTTGTACAGTCGAAATTTGTTAAATTTGGTGAGAGGCACTCGGTGGCATCAATCAGTGAATTGAAAGAGCTGATACAAAAGGTATCAATAAATAACAGTACGAATTCTAATGAACACTGTGCCAATTGTCCACTGCACGGAGATACAAGTTCGCGACATAATAAGCGAAGTTCAACGAACGTGACCATCGTAGAGAGTTTCAATTTGACCGATATTCCGCACGAAATAATAAAGTCCTTAAAGATTTATCATACATATTTGAATATTGAACATTCAGAGAAAACATGTAACGAGAAACGGCAAAAAATGTTAAACAAATTCCTAACAGAACTTGATAAAACGGTTGGTAACAATATACAATTAAATAATCTGCATGAATATACGCATACATATGTTACAGGGCGGTGTCGTAAAAAAGAAATTATCACACGAGAATCGTATCATAGCTCCGTTAAATAATTTCATGTCTCTGTTCCAAACTACTTTTTCTGAGAACTTCGAACAATCGGAGTTAGTTAACGTCAAAGCGAAACATGCAGAATTCTGTACGTCATGGAAAATGTATGAAACGAACAAATTCGATACGAACATTTTTGAAAACGCGTTGAGCGCACCGGATATTATCTCTAATACAATGGGATGCATGTCGAACGGAATTTGGAATTCTTCCTTTGCTAAAAGTGTCGAAGGTACGATCTTTGTACTATCTTTGCTGCGTCAAATGTTCTATTTTCTATACTTTTAGGCATGTTAAAAGTTTACTGTATGAGATACACGAATAAGAATCAATTACTATCATTTTTTGGTGTAATGCAACAGCTGCAACAGATACGGTACCATGAAGATCTAATAAAGATCATCGAATCGGACGTGTTTCCTGCTTTTAAGAATGGCTTTGATCCTATGCGATTGGAATACGCGAAAATATATAAAATGATTTCTATTCTATATCAGGGTTTAAATCCGAGAATTCCGGTATTAGTAAGAACCGATAAATAAATATTTTTTTGATTATATACATTCCTCATTGCTATGACAATGATACATAGATTTATCATCCTCGTTACTACGGCAACTAAGACAACTCGAGTGCACAGTTGATATTCGAAATGCACTGTGCATGCTTCCAGTGTAATGTCTCATGTATCCTCTTATGTCAATAAAAGCTATTCTAAAAGATTTACTCTATTTCGATATTTAAAACTGTTAAGGATTATCATTAACTAACACTAAACATTAAATATAAAAAGTTTTTAACATGAAGAACATCAACATGCAATACGCTTACACAAAGAAGCGGCTAGAGTTTGGGAGGCGATGTAATTTTACTGACTATCAAAAGATGGATGTTGACATTAAACCCCACGTAGGATACATGAATAATTATATACACATAAATCCTGTGACCCAGGGTACCCAGTGTGGCAAGATATACTCTGTTCACGAGGTACGAAGTACTTGCAACTAAATATCATTGTTCCCATTAATTATTAATTGATGTCGTTAGATAAACACGAATACTGCTACGTTCAAAGATAGCGGGATGTACCACGCGGAAGGTGGATGGCCGAAAGATTTAAACCCAAAAGACACGGAGCAGACAGTGAGATACAAGCGTAAAATAGAGAAAGACGAGCTGTATATTCATACGATGCTTCAATTGTTACCAGTAATTGTTTCTGTACCTGTCTTCTTATTCATGTACAAAACTCGATTATAAGAATGATATTATTCCTAGCCAATGGAGCAATGCATACTGCAGAATAATGCTTGCAACATCTACGAACAATACTTTAGCGATATGGAACCGATCTCTTTAATACAGCGAGTGTATTCGCGTACAGTGAATGTGTATCGCGACGTCTTGCCCATAAAAAGACAAATAACTCATCTCTCTTGGTCCCCGGATCAAGGAAACCGTTTCGCAGCTAGTTATTGTAATACCGATTTTAGAATAGCGATAAACGATAATCCGCAGTCTTATATTTGGGACGTAGGTAAGATTAAAAATTCTCATTCTCATTATATACATACGCATATACTGTAGTAAGTTGATGTTTGAAATTGATAGAAAATCCAAATAAGCCCTGTTCAATCCTGAAACCGTTTTGTCCTATTTTAACGTTGGAGTACAATCCCAAGGACAGCAATATACTGATTAGTGGATTGCAGACTGGTCAAGTGGCTTGCTGGGATATTCGGAAAGGGTCTGAGCCAGTCGAGATAAGTTTAATCGAAGCTAGTCACAGGGATCTATGTAACGAAGTCCTATGGATAAATTCGAAGACTGGTACCGAATTTTTCAGTGCTTCCAAAGACGGCCAGGTATGAAGAATAGAAAAAACCCGCAGTTGAGTTATTACGTCGGCATAATTACAGATAATGTGGTGGGATATCAGGAAATTACAGTCACCTACAGAGACGTTAGTAATAGACCTCTGTAAGCCCGATAATCAAGATATTAATAACGCGGTCGGGATCTCAGCGTTGCAATTTGAGCCATCCATGGGCACGCGTTTCATGTGCGGACTGGAAAATGGTAATAGAAATATCTAACTGCATCAAATATTCTTCGTTCGTGCATTCATAGTTCTGCTCGTTCTCAGGTATAGTAATATCGGGAAATCGCAAAGGGAAGACTCCGAGCGAGAAGATCGCGACCAGATTTCGAGCACAGTACGGGCCTGTGATAAGTTTGGAGAGAAACCCGACGTTCGTTAAGAACTTTTTGACGGTCGGGGATTGGACAACGAGGATCTGGTCTGAGGATTGCAAAGAGTCTTGCATCGCTTGGACACCGTAAATGTCTTTTAGAAATGATGATCCTTTAACATGTACATTCATAATTCTTTTCAGTGGTCATAGAGATTTCTTAATCGGAGGTGCATGGAGCGTAACGCGATTTTCAGTATTTTTCCTGATAAAGATGGACGGAACGCTGGATGTTTGGGATTTGTTGATACAACAAGATTCGCCAGTACTTAGCGTAAAAGTATGTTTGAACGATGTAATGAAGTAAAACATGTGTGTGTATCATGTACATCTCATGATGGATATTAGGTTTGCGACGAAGTTCTGACGCATATAAAACCGCACGAGCAAGGACAATTAGCGGCGATTGCTAATAAAAAGGGAACAACATTTTTAATCGAATTCTCGGAAGCGTTAACGACTAATCAGAAAAATGACAAGCTGTTATTTACAGCGGTAAGTTCTGTTAACATTGTAGTAATTATGATTATGTATATTATTAGCTTCTTGACAGAGAAACGCGCAGAGAGAAGGTGATAGAAGCGAAAAATAGAGAACAGAGGTTGAAAATGAAATCTCTTAAGAACAATAATATCGAAATTGAATGTCAATCGAAAGTTGACGAAAAGGATTCGAAGTCTCTCAATCCAAATGTTAATGACAATGCGATATTAATGCACTGTGAAGAAGAATACGAAAATGCCATAAAAGCAGTAAGTATATATATAGAAAATGATTCTGAAACATACAGAAACCGAATAAACCATTTTCTCAATTGTACGCGTTATCAGGAACTAGCAAAAGAAGAGGTGACGAGTAATGGAACGATAGAATAATAAAATGAACATTTAAACAGGACTTTAATCAACCTTTTCCTGTCCCGTTTTCTTTCGGTCGAAATTCTACAGCGAGATTCACAATTCTTATAATAATCGAAACGGAGACAAATGATAGAATTACAGTATTCGTATGATGATTACTGAATCTCGGTAGTTTAAATAAAAATTCAGGTTGCTTCGTATCGATTAATGAACAAACTATACCGAAACGATATGTTAGCTGAAACTGTTTTCCGATAAATTCGAACACCTGCAGGTATCAAGCCAAACATGTCTCGTACTAATTATACACTTATATGTACTTTATAATAATTAATATATGGGAGTGAACGTATAAAGAGTCTCTAATAACTCGCTCGACTAATCAAGAGCAGTGAACGAGTATCGGTGGAACTTAACAACAAGCAAGAGAATCATAACCTAAAGGAAACCATTAGGAAGATGCTAAGAGAAAACGAAATGCGATGCAATAAGTAGTGTTCATATGTAAGATTGACGAAATCGACGTTTCACTGAATTCCTTTTTGTTACTGCACAATTCGATTTAACAATAATTTATGCAGAGTTTGAGCAAACTTAAATAAAATGCTTTACTTCTAAAGATGTATATTTCATTTGCTATACCTACACTACGTTTTTCTATTAAATCCGCTTACTATACAATGCAATAATAAAGGACGCATTAAATCAATCACGCACCTTTTTCTTTGTGAAAGAATACACGTTTTCATATTAAACTCAAACTCGCAATGAAGAAACTGCGATCGTCGCAGAATTCCGGTTGGACTTACGATCCGATCGAGGGTAAAACGGAATCGCGAGGGATGCTATCGATGAGAAAAAAGAACAATCAAAACGAAACGAATCTACGATTAATTGGGAAGAAAAGCAGTGGCCACGAAGCGAATTTTCAGAATAGTGACAGCGATCATTATTCTGAAAACTCGATTTCTATTAGCAACACAAATGACAATGAGAAACTGAAATCAATTGGCGGCAAACGTTCAACGGATTTGTCGAACACTGCATCGAAATCAATGGACATTGTTGTCGATATTCATCAAAAGCCACTTGATATTAAAGAGAAAACTACCGAGAAGAAACTTCCTAGCTTATCGTCAAAAGAATTTGAAAATCGTAAAGTATTTTCGAAAACGAACACTATCCGACAGAAAAGGGTCGAGAGGCCAAGGCTCTTGTCCATCAAGCAACAGAATTTTCAACAAGAGGATGTGGATTCGTTAGACTTGATAGAGGAATTTAAAGTATCTCCTACAAATACTGTTAAGAGGATAGAAACATCGAGAAACAATAAGACAATGAAGAACAGCGATCAGTCCTCTGTGGAGGAAAAGTTGCAGAGTAGGAGGCAATGGGCTGCGCCGAAGGAACAAGAAAACGACTTAAAGAAACCGGCACGAAAGCGTTGGTCAAAAGACACGACTGTTATTCGGTTGCCAGAGGCGAGGAGCAATTCTTGGACCGTCGCGTCACCGAGAAGCCCGGTTATTAAAGATCTGGAACAGTCGTCATCGAAACAGGACACGTACGCTTTCGATAACGCGGCCTTCGATTCGGAGAACGAAGAGATTATGAGGATCGAAACCGATCACAACCGAAAGGACACGAGAATCGAGATGAAGGAGATCGGCCACGAGACTTCACAGGTAGAGCTTTTGAATTTTGTTAGCTCTCAAGACTCGCCTAGCAATGAGACTTTCAAGGAGACGGTGATAACGATCGAGGATTTGAACGAGTCTGCAGATCTCTTTGAGAATCGAGACAGGAACGAAACATCGAATAGAAGATATTCTAACGTCAGTTCTTCCAAAAATCGTGAGTCAATAAATAAAAGAGAAAACATAGTCGAGGAGAATGGAAAGAGTATTTCTGATGATTCGAACACTGTACAAAGTCTCGAAGAGATCACAGCTCGATCCGAATATCATTCTTCCGAAGGATCAATGAACAATGCCGGATCGTTAATAAGTAAAAGAAGCAAAGAGCATAAAAAGTATTCGAAGGGGCGTTCGGTATCTCTAACGGAAGATGAAAGTAATGATTTTGACAAAAGTCACTTGAGCCTCTCCGGTCGATCAGTGATTACCTCGGACGATGACTTCGACGAAAAGAAGTTGAGAAGTTCCAGCGTTAAAACGCAAAGGTCGACATACACAGAGCGTGAACCTGAGACGCGGCAAAAAAAGGAGAAGAGGAGGAAGACTCGTAAGGATCTGACGTCCACGCGTTCTCCGGACTCCGTCAACGATGACGATGACTCTAAAAAGAAAAAGAAGAAAAAGAAAAGTAAAAGAGTGAAATACATTTCTGTAACGATTCATAGAACGGATATGTTGGAGATAGACTATGTGACGAAACATCCTATGGTAAAGATTCACATAGTGAACGCTGAGAATGGGAAGTATTTAAAAAACGAGAGCGGCACGAGCACGCGTTTGCAGCCTATAATAACGGCGAAGTTTGATTTTAAAGAAAACAAGTCTATAATCCCGGTATGGGAGGAAGAACTAGTCTTTGAACATGATTTTGACGATCTCTTGAAGAAGGATAATGAACAAGTAGTGATACTATTTGAAATCGTCGATCTGTTGAGTTTCGCCGAGGCGAGCTTCAATTACGACAAATTTGGCAAGTTTTACTTCCTTTTTTACAAATCCACTAGTTTAGATTGATATCAGCAATTGACGTTGATCTCCGTTTGGCAATAGGTCACGAGGGTTGTTGGTACAAAGTTGCCTGGGCTTTCCTGAAACCAGTGGGAAGAAATAATACTGTACACGTTGATAAGAAAGTCAGATTGCAGTTGTATAAGCCTCGTAGGAATTCGCAGAAATTTGAGAGATTCCATACGTGCGAAGTAAGCAATCGTTGCTTGATTTCAAATGAGATATTATTTCGTTCATATCGTCATTTGCGTTTCATGGTTTTTAATAATTAGGTGTACACGTGGTGGAAATCGAACATCCGGGAAAAGTATCCCAGCAGCTTGTTCGTCACCGTGACGTCCATCGATCCCCCGAAATTAGAACCCGTTTTCTATCGGCAATTATCGTTGCACGAGTTATCGAATACACGTAACGAGATGCAAGGGTCTACCACGCGTGCCTCGGACACGTTAAATTTCCCGAAATGGACAAGATTGGCCGCGCAGTCTTGCAAAGTGCCGAACGAAATCCTCTTCGAGACGGACACCAGCGAGAACGGATGTTTCTACGTCGCTTTCAGCAGCGACGGGAAATACTTGGCATGCAGTCTATCCGAGGAACACGATTACCCAATCGTAGTTTACGAAGTAAATAATATAAGAACTATTTATAAAAGAATTGACACGTCTGCTGCAGACGTTAATACTTTCATTTTTACTAGGTCGAAGCAAAGAAGATTCACGTACGATTTTCAGGACACAAGACTTTTATTTACTCCCTGAACTGGTCCAATAATGACAATTACTTGTTGTCTGTTTCCTCGGATCAAACTGCTCGCATTTGGGACGTACAGAATCAAATTGTGCAACATATAGAAGTAAGGAATTATTTTGATAATGTGCTTCAAACGAAACAGTGAATTGAATTGTTTCATAGATGATGCCCCATCCATCGTACGTCTACTGTGGCAAATTCGATCCTGAGAACGCCTCGATAGTAGCAACCGGATGTTACGATCGGATAGCGCGCATCTGGGTACGCGATAAAAAGTTAAAGAACCGCGATCTCAGTCAAGAATTGGAGGGTCACGAGGGCTACGTGAATTCCATGTACTTTCAAAAGAACAGCAATTTGCTGACAGCGGACAGTGTCGGGGTAATAATAATATGGATGTTGAAAAGAGGCCGTAAGCTATCATCTAGGAAGGAGTGGCACATATCGCGGAAGATAAAAGTAAGAGAAATTGACGGTGTGATAATCAACACGATCGTTTTACATCCCCTGGAATCGAGACTTCTCGTTCACTCGCGGAACAATGGACTGAGTATGCTAGACCTCGCCACCGGGGTGGTGTTACAAAAATATAATGAATTAAACAATCAGAGGTATTCTTCATTTTCTAGTTGTATTCATAACGTTCACACAATTTTTTAATGAATACGTCTGTCACAGAATACAATCAACGGCCTGTATTTCTCCATGCGGCAGCCTGATCCTTTGCGGAGGCGAGGACTCGTCTCTGAACGTGTGGAATTTAGAAACCGGGAGTCTTTTAGCGAAATACACGTTCCATCGGAACTATAGAGCGGTAACATGTGTGGATTATCATCCGTACGATCACGTTCTAGCGTTCTCGACCTTCGGCAGTCCCTCGTCGGTGAGAGTATTAAAATTTAATAAGGATGTCACGGGCGAGGTGGTAGGATTGAAAATAATAACGGACGTCGAGACCACGGTGAACAGCGGCGACATTTCCATGAGGTTTTTAAACACGTCCGCGACTCCTGAAGAAAAATCGCGATCGATCGACAAGAACGACTCCGAGATTCCGAAAGGGAGAAATCTTCAATCTAATCGAAGTCACAATTCTAGTCATCTTAGATCTACTGATAATACGTTTTCGGACGAAGAGAAATACAGTAACGCGAAAATGAAACTGAAACGGTTGAACGAGGCCGGGCAAACGTTGAAAAATCGCAGCGCGAACCGTTTGTATAATATCATAGAGAAGATAGATAGGATTTTGTCGAACACGTCGAGATCGTCCGGAGACATCGAATTAGGAAGGAATCTCGGTTCTCTTCAGGAATCGAGCGAGGGCAAAACCTTGACGAGTTTGAACGAGGGTGTAGGAGAACGGAGATGGAAACCGAGGATTTTCAGTATAGAAGATCAATCGAATTCTTATTTAGAATCGAGTACAACGTGCAGCGATAAACACGAACTTATAGAGTGTCATCCCTTACATGACAGGAAGTCGACTGACCGAAATAGGAAGAAGAGATCGAGGAGTGCGAAACAAATAAGAAACAGTAACGTATCCGTAGATGATTTGCCAAAGACTTTCTCCGACAGTGCTGCAAATTATCAGAAAAACAAAGTATACGACGAAATTACGAACAGTTCGTCGGACGAGAATATCGTGTCTAATTTTATTATTGATAATCGAAAATCGGTCGATCGTAGGCACAACCGTTTCAGGAAGAACACTTCGAATTCATCGGATAGCACCGGTACATATATAATAGAAAAAAAAGAAACGGGGAACGACGGCATTTTGAATAGCACAGAGAACTGTTTGGACGTCGGTGTTAAACATTTCGGGAGCGATAGTTCTGTGCGCAGTAATGCTACTTTTACTTTTGAAAATGAGAGACCTATACCGAAGCCTAGAAGAAAGAGTAAATCTAGTCTGAAGTAAATTTACTCTGAAGCAATGTTATTAACTTATGTATGTTATGTATTAATTTACTTATGAATTTGTATTCTGAAGATACTTCATCATGTGTGTACAGCTTTCCAATAAATGTTTTTTTCAATAAAATGTAATTGACCTTTTATTACCGTTTATAAGCAATCTCATTTGTGCATTTAACGCACGAAGTTAGTTGGGTAATTGATTGTACGTACGTCGAAAATTTTGCACAATGCCGAAGAACGGTTTATCAGGATTTATATTCGGGCGTTGAACGAATTGACGTGCGATACATTTTAAGTAGTATTAATTTCGTTTAAAGCATGGGGTCTTTCTTCGGAGGAATAGCAAAATTCTCTGTGAACATAATTATCTTACCTTTCCTCTACCTAACGTATTTGTACGGCTTGTATATATCGCACTTGATTAATGTAGGACTAGCACTTTACTTGCTTCTGATTTTCAAACTAACTGGTGTGCAGATAAGTATCGAAAACGACGAGACCGATGACGATGATGAGGTACGAATATATTTACTAATCAGAACAATATCGGATTGAATTTTTGCTGTGACATTGTCAACGCACAACCGTCGTTCTGTCAACTTTATAGAATAATGAGAGATCGAAACAATAATCGGTTTACCCCTAATTTCGCTACATATAATTAAAAATTGAATCTCGAGAAATAGAAATGGGCAGTATATTGACAACTTTGGCTAGCATTGGGATCAGTATCGTATTTTATCCTTTCCTATTTCTCTGTTACATCTACATACTTTTCATTATGATCATTTTCAATATCGTACACTCGTTCTATATTTTCCTCATTACGTTGCTTAACGGCTTAGAAGACAGCACATAGCGTATATCGATTAAGATTTATCACGTGAGTTGTTTACATAATTTTCAAATAGAAATACGATTTTCAACTATTTCTCGAATCGACTTGTCGCCTATTTCTATCTCACAAAAATCTATATTATTGAACGTGTTACTTCCAGGATTTTCAAGATGCCCTGTCCAATATCGAAATCGGAGAAACTTCTACTGCTACAGAATCTCAACGAAACTGATACAAATTTCATGCTTTCCCTTATAATTATGTTAATGTGACAAGAAAAATCTTACAAACTGTCCCATATTATATTTGTTCGAAATGTGTAAATAAAAAGCCCTATATTTAAGATCTTCGTTATATCGCGAAAGTGCAGTCAATGTATGCCAGAAATGTCCAACAAGTAGTTGAACAAACGCGTAATAATGTACAAGAACAGTAATTATTATGCAATACTTACGTAAAGTAATAAATCCGTCGTAATTAAGCGTTTACACTTTACTGACACTTTACACCGGTAAGTAACAATTACGTTAGTACAAAAGTGTTCAAAGATATTGAAGAATGGGGAGTCACGTGACCGAATAGGCATACACCGGTCACGTGACCACTCGTGGCTACCGCGCGGAAATTTAAAATTACGCCGCTCTCGACTTTCACCTCCTGAGTTTCACTGTCCCTCTACGCTTGGCGCTATGGTCGAAATTCCTCAAATCTTAGAATACTGGCTACAATCAGTTCTCCGCTGATCGAATGAGAAAACACTACGCATCCTCCGCTCTCCCGCTTTTACACAAAGGAATTAAAGCACGATTGATGATTTGCGTAAGTAAAATCCTTATTCCATTTGTCAACTGGAAATACATCCGATTTTTTATCATTGCTGATTGAAATATTTAATTATTTTCCATATCTTTTACCAAAGTATACACATTTCGCGGTGTATTCAATATATTTTCTCATCTTACAGTTTTGCTTTAAAATTATTTTAACGAACAGTTTCGAGTTCGAACCATCGCTCGATTTTAATGTCTATTAAACTAATTCGTCAATATTATTTGCTGTTAAATCTGCCGTTACAACGCGTTGTTTTCAACTTTAATATTTTTCGCCATTACTTGCGATCCAACGAAGAACGTGTCATTTTAAACATTCACATAAAGAAGGGAATATATATTAGTCCGTACGTACAGATTCCGGTAATGTACGAAACAGAGAGTTTATTGTTAGTGACAGTGTAACTTCCTTTCTACTGTTTTTGTTTTGAATCATTGACTTCTGATTTTTGTTTTAAAATGGTGGGCAATGTGCATGTGCACTTCGAAACAACACATTCCAAACTATTTTAATAGTTTTTACATTACGAGAAATGAACGCTGTTCGAAATGGAAACGTACTCTATGAAATCATAGACAAATGTGTAGACGTATACTTACGCACCATTGCACAGTTTCATAATGGCATTTGACGTACACATGTACAGACATGTTCATGTCAATTAAAAATGCATTTTCAACAAGGATAGATATACAAATAGAATCAATATTAAATTTGAAACGAGAAGCATTAATGTAACTGTATTTCATTCTTGAAATAAATGTATTTAATCGGGTTCAATGTTACTCATTAAATATATTATTGTGCATTTCACAGGTGAATAAAGTGAGCCTTTATTTAGAAAATCGACTAGCGTAAATAGCTAAATTTACTGCGCTCGGAAACAGATGGTTTCGAACGGACCATATGGCTCCACGAAACAACACTTGACGTGCATCTGTACATCTATAAATAGCTAAAATTTGAACTTTCTCCGCGATGATGCACTTAAGAAAACTCTATTATCGCTCGTGGACCATGGAGCACTTCACTCGTCAATTATCATAGCGCGTGTATACGTAATTAAGTCGAGAACTACGAATACGAAAAAATGCGACTATTTATTCGCGTACAAAAATTCGAATACGAACTCCCACGCGCATGATTGCACACATGCGCGGTCACACACGTGTCCATTTAAATTTTAATATCTCAGATCGTAGACTGATGTAAATTGTTTTGATCAATCACTGCCTTTGTAAGATAAACCGAGTTCATTCAATGTTCCCATCACTCCGTGCATACGCGGTAGTTCGCGTGAAGCATTACAACAATTTATTAACAAAGATAGTTAGTTTCCTTACCCGTGGCAGAGTCATCAGCAATGACCTCTTAACTTCTTATCTCAGTAACGCAGCGCTTTCAATTAACTGACCGAAGGGAGCGTATTTCGCTCGTCTTAATGATACACCAGCGTCTGCTTTATGAATAATATAACGATGACATAGTTCTAACTCTGTTTAAAAAATTAATAGTAAACTTAAGAGGAATCGCAGTATGCATGAGGGAAAGTACACCGTCGCCAAGTGAGATTAATACGTGTATTCTTTTTATTACAGATATTTCTTTTTATATATTAACAATAGCAATCGAAAATGAAATACACGCTGATACTGGTGTTACAGTTAATTATTTGTGTACATCTTAATAACGCCAGGGAGATTACGTGAGTTTCATTATTAAAGTAGAGACGTTCCGCCGATCCATTCAAATTAAGATTTTTGTCGAATCTTTAGACACGAAGATATTAAGGATGCGATGTTGAGTTTGGTACACATGATGCGGGAGAATACGGAGAAATTAGAAAGACACGAGGCACGGGAACGTCAATTGGGAGACCAGTTAAGGAAGACGATCGCGGCATTGACGAAACGTATGTCAACGGTGGACACTTTGAAATTACAGTTGACCAAGCTCGACGAGAGAGTAATGGCAATTGAACAAGTCATGTCTCAGGTAGTCTCGGAGAAGATGAAATTGTGTAAAACGTATCGCAGTAGCGCTAGAGAGAGTATCTTACTTATTTTTATTTAGAGGGACGAACGAGAGAGAATACAAATGCAAAAGACTGCTGACAGTTTGGAAGATCTCGGGAATCGTTTAGAGGGATGGCTCACGGATATAGAGAACAAAGTGTCTGGAGGAAACGGCCGTCCGGACACGATGTTACCCCCATTTGATAATTTCAATCGCATCGCCTCGAGATTGAACGATACGGAGTTAAAGCTGATGGAGAAAATGTCGAGGACGGAATCGCTCGTGAAATCTGAAGCGAGCGATTTGAAGGAAGTGACCAACGCTCAAACGGGAACTACGCAAGCGTTACTCACAGAGGTAAATACTATCGAGTCGAGTCGTTGATTAATTATCCAGACTTGTCGAATTTATATGGTAGTCCCTTAGATACAGGACATCGGTACGAGGCTCAGCGATCTGGAGGCCTCGCTGGAAAAAGTAAAGAGTCAATCGCAGGGCATACAAAATAAATTACAGGAACCGCAGTTCGACGCGATCGGGAGCATTGATAATTATACTAGAATGTTACCTCCTATGCAGAAACTCCTAGAAGACACTTCAGATAAAATCAAGGAGTTACCACGGTATTTTGTTCGGTTTTATGATATTACTTGTAACGATCCAACACACGTTCTACTCATTCCTATTATCTAGAATTAATGAAATACAAAATCTACATAACGAAACCCAAATGCTTTTACATGAGACCAAACACGCTATGAAGGATGTAGTTAACAGAGGAATAAGCGGCGTTGAAAATAAATTAATCGAGAGTAATAACGAAACCCAAGACAGTATAGGAGCACTTAGGTAAATTATCAGAATTAAGTTGAAAGGAATCATAATTTAGATTCATAGACATTAAGGAAGTCATTATTAACTGATTAATCGATAGGACGAGCTTATTGAACATTGTTCAAATTTTAGAATGGACTTAGCGAACAACGCTGAACACGTGAACCAGGAATTGAACGATCTCGAGAAAGGGCAATCCGTGATGGTTTCAATGGCTGATCACGTTTTAGACACTAAGAGACGAGTCGAATACGGCGTGCACCAGATCCTCCTAGAAGTAGGGGACTTAGTTAAGGCACAGGGTATAAATATTAATAATACTTTGAACCAAAGGTTCGATGGTATATCGAACGATATTATGGACAATCAAAACGGAGCTCTAGCGAATTTGACTACTAAGATGGAACAGGAAATGAATCAGGTGACGACCGAGTATTTCAGAAATAAATTTTCTCAGAGAACGATCTTCGACTGTACGTTGAACATCTTATTTTATAACAGGTGTGGCGGCAGATAAACGTCATGTATCAACAGATGACGGAAAGCGCGAAAGCGTTGGATAAATTGCACCAGCAAAATCAAGAATATGTTAATGGCACAACTTCCACGATGGGTGGGATGGAATCTAAGGTAAGAGTCAGACTGTGTTCAAAAGAGGCTTCAGCTGTGTTGAATGTCTGTATGTACGCGCATTTCAGGTGAGCGAAATAACGAAACGCATGAGGGAAATGGACGAGAATTTGAACTATCTCTTGGGAAGACTGTCGTTGGTGACACAGGAATTTAATCAAATAAAAACGGGATTAGGGAACGCGTTAGATAATATTAAGGCATCGTTCAAGGAGGTTCAAGAGAAAGCAAACGATCTGACGCATCCAGGACCGCATCCGATACCTGCAAATTACAAAGAATTCGATGAAACCGATAATAATAAACCAGACGGTAAGTCCATTCCAGGCATTCTCAAATCCATAGAGTCCTCGAAGTGATCGAAAATTCCATCTTTTACAAACTGAAACTTCTCATTAAATTTTATTACGTTCGTATATCTATGCTCTGTATTTTCTGAATCTAATGAACTTCGTACGTTTCATCCATTAACTCATTTCTAAATATCTAATACCTAATTTCTAACTTAGACCTTTTGTTTCTTCCGTTGATCTAATTTTAATTTATTTTCTAAATCTAAAATATATATATATGTCTATATTTAAAAAACAATACATATTTGTTTTAGTTATGAAAATAAAATAATAACGATATCAATTATTGTATCGAGGACATTTTCATCGTCAACGGCGCAAGTATCGAGTTTTACGTTTCAAGATTATATATTTGACATCACTAATATATTAACATCCACGACACCCATCATCATAATTATATATATTATATAGAGTTTTTGTTAAAACAATGTATCATTTCGATACTTACACATATTTAATGATAGAGAACGTCTGTAATTTTTCAAAACGAGAATTGTCGATCTTTATCATTGAAGATCGCATTAGACATCGACCATTGTAATTTCTAACTTCCACGACTGATAAGGAATGGATAAAAAGAACGTCGAGGTATATAGAATATAGAATTGTAAATATATGACTATTCTCGAAAAACAAAATATTAATATATACGTAACGTAGATTACGTAGGAACGTTATCGATCAAATATTTTACGAAACATTATTTACGTTTACTATATATTTGCGAAGGAACATGTAACATGACGAATGTACCACAGTATTGCCACAGACTTTGCGTTGATAAACTATCTCGCTTGATATAATATAAAATAAAGTGTGACCTATATACAGAGAAACGTTATTTAACGTGGTTTGCGGAACGTTTCAGTTATATAAGCGAAATGTTTCAATAATAAACGGCATACAAATGGAACGATTCATTATTGTTTCTTCCCTTCACCAAATGTTTCCATCGAAAATAAAAGAATTCGGTACTTGAACAAATGTCCCACAAAAGGATAAATCATATTCTAATAGTAAACGAAGAGAAACCCAACAGAATAGAGAAATTAATAGACGTGTGCATGCAAAATGCAAAAAAACACTGAAAATGATTGATCGTTTTGTCTGGTACGTTAAGAAGAGGGCATGTACAATATGATAAAATACATTTAGAGTAAAACTAAAACACTACAACAATTGTAAGTACTATGTAGCACAAATGATTACACATACATAATAATATATGTAATTAGAGTGCATACTAATTCTATAATACTATTATTCGTTTACTACGATCATAATGCGTGTACCAATTAAACATAATCAATTCACTTGCTGTACAGTATAGAATTATTAATATATTTGTTTTTTTATCTGTTTATTTATTATTTCATATAATGGGTGAGTTAACACAATTCGTTACTAATAATCACACGGTCTTCGAATTGTACGAATATTATTGTTACATACGATATATTATAATTTCCTCAGAGAATGTTCAATTAAAAAACTGTTAGTTCTCGTTTCATATCAAATATAATTTATAATTATTCTCATCGATAGCACGTTCACTGCGTTATGCGAATTCATAGTTTTCAGATCTCTTTTTTGATTGATGTTCGTTTAAATGTATTAGCTCGGTACAAAAATGAAATACGGCGAAGATTACAGTATCCTTGTAAAATCATTTTCCTTCACGTCGTATAATGAGATTTTATTTCAAGCTGCATAAGAATTCAATTATTGTTCTTATTTCATATAAACAATTCTGTTTCTACAGTTTTAATAATAATTAATATACAATTATCATAGTTGCATTTGAAACTTCGTTTACATTCGCTTACGCAAATACGATAGTTCTCACTCTATTTCCTTCATTTAAATATAACCTCGTATGTACACTTAATAATATTTAAATTTAATGTATATATATATATATAATTATGTATTATTTAATATGTATACCTGTATGTATAATCCTAACGTATGTATCCCTTTCCTACGATTTTTCATTACGGTAGGTCCACTATATCCAGCTAAATAAAAACTAATCATATTTTAATACGCTTAGAAAATTGTATAAGTATATGAAATAACTTAAATAAATCGAAAACACGTGATTATATGTTCAATTTCACTTCGTACAATAATCCACGCATGTGTTCCAGTTCTTTTCATTAGCTATTTCCAAAGAATTGTTAATTGGTTTCAATCGAGGTTATTTAGTTTAGTTGCAGTAAAATAGCTAAGATTCTTAAATTAGAAATCAGTTGAGACAAAAACGTAAACGTCTGCACGGAGTTACATTCCATTCCTTGTTTGAACCATTCACCGTACACGTACTTTTATCAATGTATATGGGGCAAAATATAAATCAGAAAATACGAATAAATACAAGATTTCACTTGTTTATAATACACGTAGATAGGATGACAACGGCAACGAACGTGGTATCAAACCTTGCATTCAATTATATTACACGAATGTCTTCTTAACATTTCTCTGCGTGGGGAAAACAATTTCTCTGTTAGAAAATGGAAATCAACTTAACCGTATCATACGTATGGATACACATGTAAATGAAAAGTGACATTGTATACGGTGCTTAGAATTTACTTAAACTTCGTAGAAGCTTAACTTCGATTACTTGTATAAATTATGAAATTGTTTTTTTTTACAAGACACATGGCATGATAAATATATAGCTTGTAATTTGTTTTACACTCTACAAATTAATCAATGGGCATTTGTAAATTTGTCAATTTGTAAATCTTCTTCATAATATTATATGACGATCACTGTACAACACGTGATGGTTGAGGGAAATCAATATGCATATTTGTTCCTTTTAAATTACGATTTTAAAAAATGAATGTTGCCTCATCAACGAATTAAATGGTTTCTATTTACGTCAGTATGTATGACTGTGTGTATGTATACGCGAGGGAAAGAGACTAATTAATTACATATATATAGCAATAAGTTTGAAAATGTATTTTTGCTGTCAACAATTATTTTGCGAGTATCTATAAAATGAAACGGATTGTATGTAATGTTAACTGTTATAAACGTGGATATTATAGCCATTTCTCATACATATTCAAGGATTGGTTTTCGAGTATGGAACATAATCGGTGCTTTAACTCTGTACGAATCAATTGATAATCGATTTCCTTTTTCACGAGCAAAATAAGTTCATATGCACGTGTTACATACTTGTTGAGCTTTTAATAATCAAGCTATACGAAATTGCATCGAGTACTTCACGTTGAAGCATATTCATTAATCGTAATGGACGACCATTTATGCTATGTATGACAAGGATTAACAACTAACATCGACTGTTTGCTTAACAGTACATTAGATACGTCAACAAGCTCCCATGATATAAGCTTCGGTTAATTTAGTAACATCGTTAAGTAATTATTAGTTTTTAATTACAACTCTTTGCGGTGCTAGAATCCCTACGATGACATTTCATGTTTCGCGTTGGATTAAGATTTCTAGGATATATCCTTTCCCTCTTTTATTGATAGGTATCTAACAATGTATGCAGTAAGTCTAAATCATATTATTTGCCGATAATTTGGTGGCTCTCTTAACTGTTCTACTTTCATACCGTCTTGCCCACTTGCCTCGATAACTATCATCGTATAACTTACGTAGTAATTTACGTATTTTCTAGCAGAAATATATTAGCACAGCAAAGAAGTGTTGATTGTAATCTATATACACCCCCAAATGCATTGGAAACGTCGTTAAAAATGCCTACCCTACGATAAGCAGTGAGTCAAAAAGTTATGACGTATTGCACGCGCTCGAGCCGAGAGTCTATCATCGCATATTGTAAAAAATTGATGCAAGATGCCCGGCCGAGCGACTGTTAATGCCATTTTTCTTATTAATCGTCTGTTTTTTTCATTTTTCTTTACAAAAGGAGTATTTTAAATAAAGCTATTTAATTAAATTCGGAGTATTGGACGCATCATATCGAAATGCATTACATTTTAACTATCTAAGAGCACTGAAGAAGAGTGCAGGATACTTATTTACTAATTCGTTTACATATTCACCGCGGAATGCTCTGTAATATACAGTTGCCTTGGCAGTTTAATGTACTGAACAACATTATATTTTAATGAACCACATTTTTGGAGAGTCGCTATTATTTAAAATTATTCTCATATTATTTAAGAACAATACGATCAGAATGAAATCATGCAATAGAAATAGGAATGTATCCGACATACGTATATAAGCTTGTTCAAGTGTATTACGTTAATATTATGAAAGAAACAAATCTGAGTTGATATGAACTAAGCACGAGAACATACAGAAGCCGACTAACGATGGAATCCTACGATATATTGTATTTATTATAAAAAAAGGGAATGGCTGAAATCGTCGATAATAATAATAGATATAAAGGAATGCGTTTTCAGAAGTATCCGTACACTCTTTCTTGAATTTATACTCTTAGAATTTGACTAAGTTTAAGCAGCTGCTAGCTCGAATCACTGGATGTAGATATGCGCAGCTGACGTTTGCTACGCCTTCGGGGGTGTGAGTGGTCCTAGCTGCTAGTAGAAGCAATAGGACTAACAGGGCTTGAAGGGCTACGTGCAGGATCCCTGGGGCAACCGGTTAATGTAATAACTACTTTGCGACTTCCAGCTTCATTACGGTGTTCGCACAACCAAATTCCTTGCCATGTACCCAAAGTCAATTTGCCATCAGTTATTGGAATACTCAACGAAGAGCCGATAAAACATGCCTTTATATGTGCTGGCTATAAACAACACAATTATAAGAAAAACAAAATCTATATAACTTCGGAAC